TTGATTTTCCGATGGTACGAAAGCCATTCTACACTCAGTAGAAACCGTACTTGGAATTTTGAATGGAGCTCTTTCCCTGGGCTAGTGAGAGGCGGTCCAGTCCTCTCTCGTGACGCTGGGCAGTGAGCTGCAGCTCCGGTCAGCTCCACGATCACGAGGGTGAACAAGGATACACGTACACCCATTCTGTTCCCACACAGCCATTCTGTTCCTCGCCTGCAGTACAGTACTCAATACATTACACGAGACAGCCAACACTCTGTTGTAAAACAGGCTCTGTGGAGATGACTTTGCCCAACTGTAGGCTCACGGAAGCGTCCTGAGCACGTTTAAGGTGGGCGAGGCTAACTGTGATGTTCGGTAGGTGAGGTGTATCAAATGCATTTTCGAGTCAGGATATTTTCAACTTACGATGGGTGTATCAGGACGTAACCCCATTGTAAGTCGAGGAAGAGCTGTAATACTTACCTGTGCAGGGGGTGCGCTCAGCCCAGCCCGGCCCCCAGGCAGCCTCTGTGATGGCCACCTCGTCCCTGCTCGGAGGAGCACGACAGCGCTCCCCAGGCGATCACAATGCAGACAGACAGGCTTGGCCTGGCCGCAGGATCCTGGGGGGCCGGGTGTGGCCAGTTGCTGAATTCCCTCTTCCATGCTTCCCCACACAGCCTTCGCAGACCCCCAGTTCTGACTTCCTGCCCCGTCTGCCTACCCGCTGAGCAGGTGAGGTCGCCCCATTTGACAGAAGGGAAGACTGAGGCCCAGGTGTGCAGAGAGCACAGACCCACAACCTCAGAACCAGACGGGGTGTCCCGAGAAACCACCTGGACCAAGCCCTGCTGTCCAGATGGGGAGATCAGGCGCCCCAGGGGCAGGGCCCATCCCAGGTAGTGCAGGCAGTCTGGGCCAGCCGAGGTTCCTCCGGGGCAGGGGCTGCTCTGCCCCTTGTGCCGATGCCCCCAACTCTGGGCTCCCACGAAGCTGTGGAGCTGTCAGACGGGATCAGTGGGGCCCCGGCCAGATCTCCCCAGATTTAATTAACCAGCCTTTCATCTCTGTCCTGAAGGAATCCGCTGTCTTCTGTCTTCTTAATTAACCTTCATTAAGCAAATCAGAACACGGTTTTTCTCCCTCCTTTCTGTGCCTGGAAGGTTTTAACCCTTGGTAGGTGTGCTGCAGGGAGGGGAGTCCGCCACCTTTGCTCGCAGCCCCAAGGAGAAGGTCAGACCTCTACAGGGACTCCTCAGGTCCCCAGCGCAGGCACATCCCCCATCAGACACACACAGACACCGGCTCCTCCTCCCACACTGCCTCCATGCTGACCCCCAGGATTCCATCGCCATCCATCTTCCTGAAGGAAACTGACATGGGCTCTGCTGCTCAAGAGCCTTCTCTGGCTCCCCACCACCACTGGGACAATGGGCTAGGACAATGGCAGGTGTGGGGTCGGGCCTCAAAGCTCCAGGCTGCAGGGAAACCGAGGCCATGTGGCCCATGGCTTCTGTGGCCCTGCACAGATCTGGGTTTCAGGTCCTGTGTGTGTAGAGGGGCCCCTGGCTGCAGGAGACAGGTGTCTTTGCTGGGATCATGGTGGTTCCTGCCAGGAGGTGACACTCAGAGCCTTCTCTTGATGGAGAGGTGGCAGCGTGCGTCTTGTTGCCCAGTGTCCCGCATGGTGACGTCCACAGTTCTCCTGGCTCATTCTGGGTCCCTTCCTACAGTTACAGAAGTATTTATTCGTCCATTTGTCACGCAGATCTGGGGACTTACCCTGAGACTTTGTGGGTACACAGACACCCCCATGCCCAGGGGCCACACTTTGCTTCCTGGGATCTGTGGAGCCCAGCCCCTCCCTGACTCGCATCCTGGGAGGAGCTGACCGCAGGGATGGGAGAGACCTGGTCACCTCCTGCTGTGAACACGTCGTCAGGAAACCACGTCTCAGGAAACCACTTTCCCCACTCTGGGCCTGACCCTCCACCCCACACTCCCCTCAGCACCATCCCTCCTGGTTCGGGCTGTTGGAACACAGCAGTCAGTAAGAGTCTGAGATGTCAGCACCACTGGGCCAGGCCTGCGTGGACAAAGAAAGGCTGAGGGGTCTCCAGGGCGGCGGCAGGGGGTGGAGGGGTCTTTGGCGCAGGACGCAGATGGGCAGGGCATGGAGCCTGTCTGCCCCTGCCCCCAGCTCTGAGCCTGCAGCCTTGGAGAAGGCTCAGGCCATGGGGAAGAGAGCTGCAGGAGCTCTGGTCCCGGCTCTGCCCTCACTCGCTGCGAGTTCTGGGTCCCCGTCAACCTGGCTGCTCCACACACCACTCAGGGGCCCCTGGCGGCTGGAGGAGAGGGGGTGAAAGGGGAGGAGTCAGGGCAGCAGGGCCCCCTCCCTCTCAGAGCCTGACGCTGGTGCCTCTGCAGTCAACTAAGGGAAGGCAGCCTTGGGAAAGGGCTTTATTCTGGTCCATCCACTGGCCGCACAGGGACCACGAATGTGTCCTTGGCCGCCAGGGGGCGAGAGCGGCCAGTCCTGTAATGTGGCCAATGTCGCCACCTGGTGGTGTATCCTGGTTGAACATGAACAGCTGGATGTGGAGGGCAGGCTGGAGAAACTGGAAGGGGAGACCTCCTGCAGACCTAGACTGAGGTCGCCAGCCGAGGCAGGGCAGTCCCCTTGAGGGATGCTGCCAGGAGCTGGGCAAGGTCAGCGCGCACCCAGGTGGCACCTCTTCAAGGAGCCATCATCTCCGGCCCAGCCCCTATAGGATCAGCCTTTGCCAGCCGCGTAGCTCCTCCTGCTCGTTCCCTGATCTGCGCTCAACACAGGCCCTGGGGACACGGGGGTGAGGCACACATGGTCCCTGCCCCCCACAAACTCACAGCCTCCAGCTCCCACAGACCCTCTGCAGGACGAAGCCCCAGCTCATGGCCATAGTGCCCAGCACCCCACATCATCTGGCCTCCGACCCTGCTCCAGCCTTGCCCATCAGGACCAACTCCCCGCCCAGCGCTGCAAACACACAACAGACTTGCCCTGCCATTCACGCCTCTGAGCCTTTGCACATGCTGTGCCTCCTGCCTGACATGCCCTTTCCCTACTCACCCTTTATGACTCAGTTTACTTGTCACCTCTTCTGGGAAGCACCCTCCAGTTCCAGGCACACTAGCCACCCCACCCTCCCCACACTCCATGCCTCCCGTGCATGCCTTCTGTTACATCCTATCAGCCTGCTCATCGACACCTGTGCATCTGGCGTCTCTCCCTCAGTGGCAGGGTGGGGGGGGGTCTAGCTCACGCCTGTGCCCGGCCCCAGCCCAGTGCAGGGTATACAGTGGGCAACATACATGTTGGCTGAGGAACCAATGGCTATAAACACATGGCCACAACTCAGTCTTATAAAACAGGTAAGATCAGCCTTGGAATGCCACTGGCTGTTTTTTAGCGCATCCCTCCCTCTCCAACCAGACAGAGGGCTCATAGAGCGCAGGGTTTTGTCCTCATTACAGTGATGGCAACCGACTGCACACTCACTCCACGCCGGGTTTGGGCCACCTGCTTAGGAATTGCCAACAGGAAGGACTCAGTGCAGGGGAGTGAGTGCTCAGGAGACGGATGGAAGCGCTGGAGGGGCCAACGTCTAGGACCCTGCAGATCTGACCCACCTGGGAAGCTGCCACCACCTGAGGCTCTGAGAGCTCACCCTGCAGCTGTGCTCCCGGGGCCAGAAACATGAGACAAGACGCCACTCCTGCTGCCTCCAGCACACAAAGGCCTCTCCACCCCCCAGAGCTGGGAGGGGAAGACGCTGCTGCAGAAAGCCTCCTCCCCGGTGACCTGGCCCGCCACCACGACATTCACCAGAAGGGCAGAAGACGGCCTCTGCCCACCTCCGCCTTCCAAATCTCAGGCGGGGACCTCTGATTGGCAGGACCTAGTTCAGATTGGCAGGACCTAGTTCACCGCCAGGACCCTGGCTGCAAAGGCTGCCGCTGAAAAATAGTCCTTAGCATGTTGAGGAAGTTTATTTCTGTTTTCCTTGGAAAAGTTTTTCTGGGAATGGCTGCTAAATTGTATCAAGTGTTTTCTCTAGCATCTATTGATGTGAGTATATGGCTTTTCTCCTTCAATTTACTAACTTTAATGAATGGAGAGTTGAAGGGGGCATCCACTTGGGGGGGTGACAGGGAAGGCCTCTCTGAGGTGATATTTGTGATGACACCAGGGTACCCTTGATCACAAATATCAGGTCAGAATCTCTTTTCTTTGAGCACAGAGAGAAGCCAGCAGCAGATGCACTTTTCAGAGTTAACGGAGACATAGGGCCGTGAAACCATCCCACGAACCTGCTGAGGGTGACTTTATTGCTAAAAAGAGATGTACAATGGGAAAGACCCTATGTCCCCCTTTCTTGGGACTTGAAAGGCACTGGTGAGCAGTTTCCATTTAACGAGCAGCTACTGAAACCTCAGGACAGCGGTAATGAACCCGGATCATTGCCAAGCCCATTTTACAGGTGAGGACACTGAGGCTCGAAGAGGCTAGGGTTCCCAGCAGAGCCAGGATCACGAAGCTCGGACACTCCCGGGCACGTCCACCAGGTGGGGGTCAGCGCCAAGAGACCGAGCGGTGGGGGGAGGTGGGGGTGCTGCCCGCCGTCGGTCCCTCCCCCGCGCCCTCCCAGCCCCGCCTCGGGTCCCGCCCGCCGGGGGAGGCGGGT